AAATGAGAAAGACGAACCCGGGGGATTTAATTATATAGTTGTGTGCGCGCGCGCGATGTATGTACATACCACCACGATGCTTCACGCTATGATAATTATAATTTAGGCTAAGCCCTATAGGTATTGTATACCAAAAACCTCGTGTAGCTGAGTGAACGGTAATTATTTGGGTATATGCGAGAGATTACGTGAGAGAGAGAAAAAAGAGTGCGAGAAGAGATGCGTGAGAAGACGAGCGAAAGGTAGATGCGTCTGGCAGAGAGGGAGCAGAGAAACCGCTGTGTTACCACCGCTACTACCGCCACCCCCTCCCCCCTCTCCGTTCCCCGCCCTCGTCCCTGAAGTCCCAAACTCTACTATCTTCCAGTGTTACTAATAGACTCATTGTTGAGCGCGAAAAAGTGATACTGATCGACGATGATTACTTATGTTATAATTCGTCCTCGATGTTACAGAAGAACAGTGTTTAATAAAAATTTCATTTGGACAAAAAGGAAACGGAAAGACACAAATGTCCACAGCACCACTCAATTAACCAGCTCGCCGGAGTAATCGCCTGGGAAATCGAAATAAGCGGATCGAATTTTAACGAGTTTCCAGGTTGATTGAAATTTCGAAAATGTCGAAAGACAAAAATCCAAGTTAAATCTGTAGAATATGAAACGATTGTATATTTCTTCGTCTGTTGTTTTCGCTCGCTGATCTGTTGAAAATTTTGTAACATTTTTTTTTTTTAGGGACGCGACGACGATTAATGGCATTTACACAGTGCATTTAGGCCGTAGCCTAAGTTTGATTTTAGGCTCCTTGGTATAAACAGTCGGTAGATGATTTATTTTCTCTAATTGTCAGGCTTCGTTTTTCTCAGACCTGCATAGATCAGACTACAGAATAGGTCTCTCGGTGTAAACGTAGACATACGCATTGTTCGTTTTGTCTTTTGGGAGCTGCTCGGAATCGCTCCGAACGAGCCCAGCGTACTTGGATGTGATCCATTTAATACTGTAAACACCTCGAAACATGCTTTGATTGATCAATTCATAAAATTCTTTCGTTTGATCAACGAAGCATTTGTAGCATTAAATGGATCACATCCAAGTATACGCTGGATTCGTTCGGAGCGACTCCGAGCAGCTCCCGAGAGACAAAACGAGCAATCCTATAGGATGAATGGTCAGGAAGTTTTATCGATAGAGATGAAAGATGCGATTTTTTTTTTTTTCCTTCAAGACATCACCTGATCTCTGTCCTCTTTGGGCTCCGAGAGAGAAAAAAAATACAGTTAGAATCCGAACCGCTTATTCCGAAACAAATAGCAAGGTGACGTCAATGACGTCATTAATAACGTCTTAGCGTTAATAAAACTTCATTAGAACGTCATCTTAATGATGGAATATTTAAGAATTACATTTAAGTGTAAATGTGCCTCAAATAATTTTAATCAATTTTTCTTCCATCACTGCCACTCGATCGAGCTGCGAGGAGGAACGGAACATGCGTTTGCTTCGACTCTCTCGTTGCAATTCCTTAGGCTATATTTTAACAGTAATATTCAACAAATTTCTCAGCGCGAAAAGACACGTTTCATTGAGTGGGGAAACACGGCGGAAGACGAAGGCTGCATTTCACGATGTCTCCGGTATCTTCGATCTTCCGTGGATGATAATAAAGTGCGAAATCGTAAACACTTTGTATCTCATTTACGTGGAGACGTCACAATCTCGCAATTTACGTAACGCGCACTTAAATTACGCAATCGCGGAGACGCTACGCGATTGTGGAGCGTACGTGATTCTGGGTAAGTATTATCCCCGAGTACTACCTCGAGTACCTCCTCGTGATCGCGTAACGAAATCCTGTTGTTTTCTCCGATATCTGTTCGAATCGATCGATTACCTGATATCACGAGCACCAATTTCCCATGATAAGATAAAATATAATTCAATCGTCGTGGAGATATAAAAGTTTCCATATAAGCTCGCATTTTTTTCTTTTTTTTTTTTTCCAGAGGCGATGATTATTACGTAGACACAAAGAATGGTCCTAGGAACAGTTTTTATTGACAGAGATAAAAGATGCGTTTTCAAAATTGATTTTAATATCTAATGGGAGGGGCGGGGCGAAAATACTAAGAGTCTACATAATGTGGTTCGATTATTCGCGAAATAATACTCAAAAGATCGTTACACACAATGGATCAATCGGTATGCGTACGCTCGTTCCATGAGCCGTATAATAATTATATATGCGTGAGAAATGGGGGAGGGGGCGGGCGGGCGAGCGAGATGTACCCGCATATACGCGTTGTAATTCAGCAATTAAGACACGAATGTTGGTCAAACGGGGGAAACACAGCGAATGTACGAATGTCCACTAACGTATTACAATAGTGTGTTACAAACATTTCTCTTTTATTCTCTCATGTCACGAAGGGACGATCCCGGGCGATCGGACCCCCATAAGGATTCTCGCAGCGTGACGCGGTGCTCCTCGAAACCGCGTGAAACTACGAAAATAGGAATTCGATCCAATTCAACGGTCCTTGGATCAGATAAAAACGTGGACACGTTGCGCGAATAATTACCCTACCATCCTATCTCGCCTAATCCCTCCGATAAAGTATCGTCGCATTACGATCTACTTTTATTATGCGCTGCTTCGGTCGCGAAGAAAAATTCTGGTTGTACACATTTGACGCGCGTGTATCCGAGTGCTGTCGTCAAAACTGGCTCGTGGATAATGTATATGACAGTATATATGACGTATTGGGATGAAGTAACGGAGATACGAGTCTTAAAGTCGACTGATGATCTGATAACCCTACATCTTTTTTTATTTAAAAAAAAAATGAGTGATGTTTAGAGATAAAAAAAAAAAAACACTTTAATCTGGCGATTAAATTATGCAAAAGCCGTGGAACGATCGAGAATACATATGTACAATTATCTTATAACAAAACTGTATCCAAATTTTTTTGGCGTCGGATAGCCCGTTTTTACATATCAGAGTTTTTACATACAAATTCAGTAATAGGAACACTAGCCAGTTAAATGGAAGAAAAAAAGACGCTAAGTATACAGAAGCCAAGGCATATTTTCACCTCGAACGAAGAAAACAAAAAACGATCGCGAAAATATAGACACGATTAGTGATATATTGCACAGAACCTTCGATTTTTCTTAATTACTAGCGTCTCGAGCCGGTCTGAAAATTATCAACTGCAATCGTACGCAATGCGGGAGATACATACAGCTGTTCTCCATCCACGTTCATCTCGATTAATATACGCGATGATACGACTTGTTCGTATGGATTTCTTTGTATTCGGTGATCGAGCGAAATATAAAAACCGTTGCATATATATATATATATGTGTGTGTATATGTATATATATACACACATATATATATAAGATAGGAAATGTAAGGTGAGGTGAGGTGTAGTGATGATCGGTCATCGACGCAACAACCAGAGGGCCATCTGTAATAAATTACACCAAGGCATATTTTATTCTTTTTTTTTCCTTTTAAATACGAGTTTTAGTCGTGTCACTAGTGTTCGCTAATTATTATGTTAAATGGATGTGATGTTGGCTGCTGGTTGTTATTATAACTGTAATTAATTAGTTACTTATAAGAATCAAATGGCGCAGCAAGTAGATACACGGGCAAACGGTGTTGCTCATATTTTTTTTTTCTCATTTCTGTTTTAATTTAGGGATAATTAACGCTCGTACTTGATATATCTAGACTGCGATCTAAGAATTTCGTTCCTGTGTTCCGAAAGGAAAAGTGCTTCACTGTTTACGTAAACTACTGTCGGCCCTTTGCTTCTGATTAATTTCGACATATTTTTTTTTTTCTTTTTTAGTCTCTTCATTAGAAAGATGTAGATATATTTCGGTTATTGATAATAATCAATTATGTATAATTAATAATAATAATATTAATAATCATAGTAATAATTCCTCGTAATAAATGTAATGCTTGGTACACAGAGATAACAAAACGACTCCACTTATTGCCGCGAACAAAAAGGTACTTACAAAACGTGACACATGCACAATACTAGACAAAAACTCGGATAACACAAGAATGACCAGATTAATTTGTCTCGTGCTTTTTTTTTCTTTTTCTTTTGCTTTCTGCACTATGATCATACAGTGGCGTAGTATCTTGATTATTTCTGCTGGCCCAATATTATATTTTATAAATTATACCGATATTTAATTATCTAAAAAAAATTCTAAAACGTCTTGCTTGAAATGTCTGTCGTATACCACTCGTTGACTACAAACTATCTTATTCCTTTCAGACATGATTGTAAAGTCCGTTCTTTTTCCAACCACGCGTGAGGGCTTGAGACAGACTAACAAGATGTTTGCAATTCTGGATGATGATAACTCAATTAGTAAAACTGAAACACCTCCTGTGATTCAGTGATATAGATAGTAAAACTCTATTCCAAATCATAGATAGTCTGAATAATGCTCTCGAGGCTCTTGCGATTAATTCTTCTCATCCTCGTCGTCTTCCTCTTCTTCCTCTGATGCTTCAGCGAGCCATGTTAACCAGGAATTTACCTATAAATGATGTAAAATTTTCAATCGTCTAATTTCAATTATTCGATTAAACTTCATGAAGATGTTGAAATAAAATAATAAACAACATATTTGCTATTTAGTATTAATTCTCGAAAAGTTCTAATTTGACGAAAAATTGACGTGTAACAATTATACTGTTCTTAACAAATGTAATTACAGTATCGGACGAGAACTAAA